GTCAATAGTTAATTGACTATTTAACTAGTCAATTAGGTATTGACTAGTTAAATAGTCAATAGTTGGCCACCAGAGCAAAAAAAAATCTTTAAAAAAATAAAAATAAAAAAACATCAGTGGTACACAACCAGGTGTCACAACAGTGCGGAAGGCCAACATCCAGAGGGGCGATGGTGCATTTGGCGCACACACCCTCGCGCCTAGTTTAATGTGTCACCAATAAAACTAGCTTAAACCAATAAAACTAGCTCACGTGCCATGTTTTCTCGACACAGATTGCACTCACCAGAAAAATAAATGGCAAATCAGTAGCATCTTGCCTATCATCCTGTCACCAATTCTTTTCAGTTAAAGTTGCCAAAATGTTGTTACACAAAATATTTAAATGGAATGAATGCTTTTTTGGTGCAAATGCAACAAAGCCAGTCAACTGCATCTTTATTAGCCTAATCTGTGAACACAACTGGGCAAAAACCTGAGAACTTCCTAGTGCAATGTACCAATCCAATCCAGCTTTATTTCATCCATCCATCCATTTTCTTACACCCTTGTCCCTCAGTGAGGTCGGGAGGGGTGCTGGTGCCTCTCCAGCGAACATTTCAGGCGAGAGGCTGGACAGGTTACCAGTCTGTCGCAGGGCAACACAGAGACAGATAGGACACACAACCATGCACACACACACTCACTGAGGAGAATTTAGAGAAACCAATTTAACCATGCAGAAAGACCCCAGGCCAGGAAACGAACCTAGGACCTTCTCCCTGCAAGGCAACAGTGCTACCAACCGCGCCACGGTGCAGCCCTCCAGCTTTATTTAAGCAAAAATATATTATCATACCAGCCATATAATAAAGGACTAATAAAATATTAACATCTCATCATGTCAAAAGCCAAGCCAAAGAAATTAGTTTTAAGAAGGGATTTAAAATTGTACAATGGTGTAGCCTGTCTGATGCACCAGTGCCATCAGTAAAAAAAAAACTGTCCCTCAACATGATGCTAACACCACTGTGCTTGGCACATGATATGTCAATTATAATTACAGATGATTTAGATTCGTTGAGTTCAGTATTAATCTTTGACTCTACTTTATTGCACTGTTCATACTTGATGTCTGACAAAAATCCCAAAGAGGGTTTTGTGTTTCAATATTATAATTGCCATTTAAAAAGCTTCCCTTGTCCTTTTCCTGTTTGTTACAGTTCAAGGGAAAGAAGGGAGCGAGTATCAATGGAGTGGCTTCCAAACAGAAGGTTGAGCCAAAGAGTCAGGCCAAGAAGAATGGAGTCAGTGGGATGCCATCTGTGAAACGCAACAACTCCAGTAAGTGTTGGGATCACAGTAGCATCTCTGAATTTTCCTGTGAAGCATAAGGAACTCATGTTTTTTGTGTGTCTGGCTCCGTTGATCAGTCTCTCCAGTTTGTTGTGGAAATTTATGCAAAATCAAAAGTATCCCTATTTTGCACTAATGAAAAGCAGAGGATTAGGGACACTAAAAACAGAAGAATAAAATAATTCTGACTTTAATCTCAGAATTTGTATTCTTTCTCCATCTATGTCAAAATCAAAATAAATAAGTCAAGTATTTTGTTAGCCAATGAAAATAGTGATATTACTGTTTCTTCCTTGGATTTGTAAACCTGGACTTTATACACACGAAAGTATGTCCAAAATTTATTTGGTAGAATTGAATTTTAGGACTAGATTTGCCTGATGGTGCTTACACAATTTAAATCAATCAATCAATCAAATTTTATTTGTATAGCACATTTCAGCAGCAAGGCATTTCAAAGTGCTTTACATAATTAAAATGCAAACAGCATGTGACATAGAATAAACAGTGAGAAAAAGAGATTTTGAAAAAGATTTAAAAAAAAAAAGATAAAAATATTAAAACCCGCACCCCTTTTAGGATTTCAGTTAAACGTCGTTTAACTGGGACTCAAACCCTCTTGGACTTTAGTCAAAAACACCTTTTCACAAGGACTCCAACCTCTAAGTTTTTAGT